GCCAGCCAGAGTTCCTTGTTGCTTATTCTCATTATTCTGGCTATCTGAACCTCAGTAACGAGCCAGTGTACACAGTTGTTGATGAATGTCTGTAGTTTGTTGGAAATGCCTCTCGTAACGCGCCAAGTCTCTGAACCATACAGAAGCACTGACTTGACGTTGGTGTTGAGAATCCGGATCTTGTTCCATATGCGGAGTGTAGTGGAGGAGACCTCCACACTGGTTTCAGGTTAATAAAAGCCTGTCTTGCTATCTTTCCGATCGTGGCTGGCTCTGACGTCCTCGTCCGTGCCGCCTGTAGTTGAAACGATGCTGCCTAAGTAGGTGTGGGTGAAAGAGGTTACTTCCTTTAAGTTTCTCCCGTTGATGGTGATTGAAGTTTGTTGTTGTTTATGGTGGTGGTGTTAGTTGGGTATCATCATCACCTCTGTCTTTTCTATGTTTACTTGAAGTCCTGTCTTCGCTACCCCACCTCTCCTGTCAACTTGTTAGTTTTCGCCTTTAGATCTTCAAGTTTGTGTGACATTAGACATAATTCATCAGCGTAATCCAAATTTTCTAGGATCCTTTCCCCGGTCAAACAGTGTATCCCCCACTTCTCGCTCCTCACTGTATGCTGCATGATCCAGTCCACTACCATCAGGAATATCATGGGTGATAGTAGACACATTTGTCTAACTCCTGTCTCCACTTCACTTCAAAAGTATCACTGAGCTTCCCATTATGAGTTATTTGGCATGTCGCGTCTTCAAATACTTGTTGAATGAGGTTGATAAAGGTTTGTGGTATTCTCTAGTGTTGAACCAACTGCCTGCCAAATTACTTGTCGGTCGACGCTGTCCATGGCATTCTCAAAGTCGATGAAGTTGAGGTGAGGTATAGAGTTGACTACCATTCTACACTCTGTTCTATGATGATGAGTAGCGTGGCGTTTCAATTTGGTCCACACATGATTTCTACTTCCTGAATGCAGTCAGCCTGTTCCGGTCATAGTTTTGAATCCAATGCATCCTTTAGTCTCTCCAGGATGATGCGACATAATATTATGCTCGGGGTGGACAGGAAAGTGATTCCGCGCCAGTTCTTGCAAACACTGAGGTCTCCCTTATTCAGGAGTTTGACAAGGTAACCATTCTTCCAATCAATAGGCAGGTACCTTCTCTTCCTTCCACACCTTCTGCAATAGTGGTGTGGGCATGTCCACTGTTGTCTCTACGTCTGTTCTTAGTGCTTCTGGCGGAATTCCATCTTGTCCTGCTGCTTTCCCACATTTCAGTATCTGTATGAGGTTCAGGACTTCCACTTTTGTTGAAGGATTTATATTCACTTGTAGTTCTGTGGCTGGACTGCAGGTGGTATTTCTGGACGAAGTGCAGGTGTGGTGGTCGATTCAAGAGCTTCTTGAAGTGGTCGGCCAGCCCACTGTTTCCGTTGTTTCTTTTCCTTGGTGATTATATTTCCTTCATCATCTTTTATTGGTTTCGTCTGCGTTGATCTCTTCCCTCCCAGATAGTAACCTGGTTATTTGATACAATGTCGTCAGGTCTCTCTTACCTGCAGCCTGTTCTGCTTCACTTGCCAGTGTTTCGTAGAAGTGTCTTTTGTCTTTGCGTGCACTCTTCTTTACTTCTTTGTCCAGTTTTTTATACATTGTACTCAGTTCCTCTTGTCGTTGAGCCTCCATGCACTAATTTATCTTCTGCTTCACCATCCTCCTCTCCTCTATCAGCTTCCATGTATCCATTGAGATCCATTCCTTATCTTCTTTCTTCTTACTTCCTAATACGGCTCGTTGTTATACTAGATGGAATTAATTAACCTCTATTGACGTATGGACTTCTCAGTGGATATCTCGATATTTGCTGTTGAATTTCAAGTAGAACGAAAGGCAAGGGTTGGATTCCACTGCTATCTAACTAATTATTCCAAGAAAATTATGCATCCAGTGAAATTCTAGACAACGGTTTATACATCTAACATGATTGAATTTACTTCCCTATTCTCAGCTTGCTTGCAAAATCACATAGTCATGACAACAATATATCCCCTTAATATAAGAGAAAAACTTGAGAGCTGTTGTAAAAGGTAATTTTTGGTTGTATTGTGTTTTCTCAGCTGGGTTGTTTAATCGTGAAGCTTTCACTGCCTTTCTGGACGACATCATCAGCACTGACTTCAGTATGAAGTGAGCTGTCAATATCTCTCCCTCAGTGATTTAGTAGCTTGACTTGACGAAGCGGTCTGTGATTGGTTGTTTCCTTCAATTATTGTGTCATTGACTGCACAGATTTTTCTGTTGACTGTCCCTCTGCTTCACTTCTCGTCTTTCTGTCGTTTATCATCTTCCTTATTGGTTGATACATCGGGTCCATGTCTATACATCTATTGAATGCTGACTGACTGACCTGAATGCCAAGCTTCTAGGAATTCTCTGAGTTTCTTTGTGTTTCCTCTCTCCGTCCAAAATTTCTACAGAGTCCAAATTGAATTCTTGTCCATAGTTGTTATCCACATGCATTGAAATGAGTTACGAAATGTTGTGGCATTTAATAGGCAATTGGTGTTCATGTAGACGAAGGCGAAGAGGGTTACCACTTTGTCCAGTGTAGTGTTTACTACAGTTACTCCAGTTGATTTTGTAGATGATGTTATGTTCGTCTTCTTCGCTTGTTGCATCCTTTGGTCTGCGTAATAATGTTTGGAGGGAATTTGTTCGTTTATGAGTCACACCAATTCCAAGTGGTCTCAGCAATCTTGTTATGGTTTCTGATAGATTCTTCATGTATGGTAAGACGATGCGTTTCTTGATTTCTGTCGATGACTTTGTAGTTGATGATATACGGGATAGGCATCTTCTGATAAAGTTTCGTGGGTAACCGTTCTTCTTTAGGATGGACATCAAGTAGTTTTCTTCGTTTCTCCTTGAAGTTGTTGTGCTGCAGTGTGTTCTCGCTCATTTGAATAGAGTCTGCACGCAAGTCATCTTGTGGGTTGTTGGGTTGTTGCTATTGTAGTTGAGGATTTGGTCAGTGTATGTTGGTCTCCTGTACACTTGTGTTTTCAGCTTTCCCGTATTTGTTCTATTGACCATAACATCCATGAATGGTAGTTGGTTGTTTAACTCCTTCTCCATTATGAATTTGATGTCAGTGAAAACGTTGTTGATCAAATTGTGGGTGTTTTCTATATCATCTTTTTTAATGATGACAAAAGTGTCGTCCAGATAGCGAATCCAGAACTTTGGTTTGATCACAGGTAGGAAGATGGCTTTCAGTCTCTGCATCACTGCTTCTGCAATCATTCCGGATATCGGTGATTCCATTGTAGTTCCTTTCATCTGTTTGTATATCTAACTGTTGAATTGGAAGTATGTTGTCAGACAAAGGTTGATGAGTTGCATCAGACTTGAACATTTAATTTTTGTGCGTTCTGTAAGGCTTGTGTCTTCATGGAGCAGAAGGCACATAGTTTTCCTTGGTCAATTGAGGTTCGATGGATGTGTATAGTGCTGTGATATCGAAGGATACCATTAATTTGTCGTTTTCTTTGTTAATGTTTTTTATCTTTTCTAAGAATTCCGTTGATGATTTGATGAAATGTCAGCATTATGATTGAATGAGGTGTTTCAGTTTTCTTGAAAGTTCTCTTGATATTTTGTATGATGTCGTCTAGTAGGACGATGAAAGCTTCACGAGTAAACAAACCAGCTCAGAGAACACAATACAACCAAGACCATCCACCTGAGCTACACATATTCTCCACTATTTCAAAAGACAATTCCATTAAAGTCGATTTATAAGATGTACTACACAGGTGGAACTGTATTATTTTACTGGATCACATTTCGGACACAATTTATCACCCATAGTCACATCAAGATAACTATACAACTTTGAGACATACTTCATATAGTTCTAATTTTCTCGCCTCCTTTTTGAGTGAAATTGCTGATAAACTTTCCTATACGTCTAGAACAGATGCTGAGTCATTTCTGTTGCTGGACATATTTAGTGTTGATTCGATAAACAAACATCCGGTTTTCAATCTCTTCTTCTACTTTCCTATGTTAGTTTTAAGAAACGTCACTCTGTTGCATTCTATTTTTATAGTTGCATATAACTCTGTGCATAGCTACGGTGGAGCTTTTCTCCATGTTCCTTATTTTACTGGACTTCACCAATTCTGATTTAAATACATTTTCGTACTCGAACTGCTCAGTTAACTATGGTCGACTACTTTGACTTATCTGTTTAACCTTGTAATCGTTGCAAGGGCCTTTGTAAGCTAAGTTATTCTCCTTAACTGAATCGATAGGATGATTTCTGAGTTTGTAGGTTTCAATTAACTGATAGCTTCCTCGAGTATCGTAAGAAAAAATATGACTAGTGTAAGTAAATAGGTGTTAATACTAGTAATAATGTGATGTAGCAATAATGTGAATGGAGAATGTCCAGCCTCTACAGTATTATTTTACAAAGAAGGCACCTCAAAGACATTAAGTAGTATTCCCAATGTGGCTAGGATTACTCATTTAAAAATAGTCCTCGAAGGTCCAAACATCCTATTGATCCTGTTAGGCACAATAAAATTGATCAAAGTAGTCGATTAGGCTCAACTAGAACAACAGCACAAAAACTTAGCTGAATCAAGATTAATAGGTCTTAACAGAGAAGTTTGAAAAAAGCTCGGCTACAGCTATGATCGCAGTTACAACGTATAATTTTAAAGACGACCCTAGCAACAACTGGAATGACCAATCAAGATTTGGTATTTCGCCTGGGAAAGTACTTTTCCATAAAATAATGTAATTGATTGTCCCATCGGTTGCTAGACCAACCCTTTAAAGTCACCCCCCCCCCCCCAATGCACACAATCACACAATAGGGTAGAATAGAGTGACAGTATTAGAAAGTAAATAAATCAACTAAAATTGAATATGTCCCTTTTTACTAAATAAATTCGATATATATGTATAGTATATTATACTTCACAGAACTAACCTTAGAAAAAATGTCACTGAAACAATCCAACCACCAACCCAAGCAAATTTATCCCCAAAAAACTTGTAAAATGAACCAGCTACTGAATTACGCGTAAATCGACCCAATGTGTATTCAACAATCACAATTGGAACAGACCATAGATACAGTATGAAGAACCAAACCAAGTAAAACGTTAATGAACCTGAAAAAAAACACAAGTTTTTATATATACAAATAACTGACATGTAATTACAACGGAAAACATTGAAAAGGTAGAATGATAGAGATTCCCACGGTCCAAATTTTTATTTCACCTAGTATAAAATACTAGTCTACCAAACTACAGCTATCTCAGATAGTCAAATGATAACCCTTATGATACTCCCCCCTCTCTAATTTGGATTTGGGTGAAAAATCCTTACTATGCAGCCAGTGTGAACACAACCAAGCGGTAGTAATGCATCACATGGTAATCGGGTGAAAGTCTTGATGATTGAAGTGAGATAAAAATGTGATCCGAAATCGAATCTTGTAGCTTAGTTGGTAGAACATGGGGTTGAAAAACCCGGTGGTCGCTGATCCAAATCTGGTCACAGACCAAATTTTCATTTCACTTTCAATCATCACCTAGTATAATTACCAGTTAGCCAAACTACAGCCATCTCAGATAGTCAAATCATAATCCATATGATACTCCCCCCTTTCTAATTCAGTTACATTTGGATTGTGAACACCATTTCAGTTGTGATATCATTTTGATTACACTTCAGTCAAAATCTCATTTCGGTGTGTTCCAGTGAGAAATCGTGACTGGAGTCACAAAGCAAGCTGAAGGTGTCAAGAAATACACAACATTGGCATTATTATTATTATTTACCCCTCAGGTTCCTAATGGAACATACTGATTCAGTAGCACGTCTCCATTAAACTCTCTTCTCTTCTATACAATCTTTTCAACCTGGCTACACGACTGCCCACAACCTCTCATTTCTTCCTCACACCATCTCCTCCACGTCACCCTCGCCTCAGATGCCCAACTCGTCGTTTCCCATCTGGGTTCCACTCGACGGCCTGGCCCGGCACATAATGTCCCCGAATAGTCTTCTCAGTGCATCCTCAATCCATCTCCACTTCCTTCCAGTGCATATTCCTTCAGCAATAGGTTCTTGCCTCGTTGGTTCCTTGCCAGCCAGAGTTCCTTGTTGCTTATTCTCATTATTCTGGCTATCTGAACCTCAGTAACGAGCCAGTGTACACAGTTGTTGATGAATGTCTGTAGTTTGTTGGAAATGCCTCTCGTAACGCGCCAAGTCTCTGAACCATACAGAAGCACTGACTTGACGTTGGTGTTGAGAATCCGGATCTTGTTCCATATGCGGAGTGTAGTGGAGGAGACCTCCACACTGGTTTCAGGTTAATAAAAGCCTGTCTTGCTATCTTTCCGATCGTGGCTGGCTCTGACGTCTTCGTCTGTGCCACCCGTAGTTGACTTTGGATGAAGCGAACAGTACATCGCGAAATAACAGAAGTAAGGAAATTTGAACCACTGCATTTTGAGAGTGATTCAGCGATAACTTGCTCACTACCAAACCTGATGGCAGTTGGTTGGATTCCTAACTAGGTCATAGTTTCCCACTGCTGAGGAATCCGACGCTAGCACAAAATACCTTTCAAATTTTCTCAGGTTTTCAATGGTTCTCTATACCATGCCACGTCATAGTGAACATCAACATGAAATATTTCTAATGAATCAACAAATTAGGTTCCAAGTAAGAAGTATTAAAATGTAATACCATCCCTTGAACTTTTAAAGCTTCTAGACATACGAAGGTACCTAATAAATAAATTGAATTTTGCAGAAACTGAAATTTTTCACAAAGTGGAGTAGTTTTCTAGCACTAAAACATTGAATTAACCTCGCCTGGTTAACAAGTACACTAGTTACTAGCCGGTCCTAAGCCGGGTAAAGAGGGAAGGTTGGGCATAGGGCTAGCAACCCTACCCCGTAAAACAAATCCAGCCGCTACAGAAACTTCAAAGCACATACAAAATATAAAAAATAAAAATAACATTATTCCTCGCTGGAATCGGAGAGGCGAAACGACGCCGGTTGGTGAGAGCCTTCGGGAAGCGGATTGGCCGATGTGTCTTCTCTCCCTCGATGAAAGCGAAAGTAAACATACGGACATGGAATGTCCGCATTATGTATGAATCTGACTGGCAAGGCTGCCTAGATTGCAAACGAGATGAGAAGATATCGCATTTAACCTAGAAGGTCTGGATTTCGCTGATGACCTATGTCTAATGTCACACAAACTCGAAGATCTACAGACAAAATCCAACAAGATCACAGAAGAGGCAGAGCAGCGAAGATGGGAATTCAAGTGAATGTAGAGAAGACCGAAGTGATGAAGATACCCAACCAACAACAACGATAAGCTCGAACTTAAAGGAAGTAACCTCTTTCACCCACACCTACTTAGGCAGCATCGTTTCAACTACAGGCGGCACGGACGAGGACGTCAGAGCCAACCACGATCGGAAAGATAGCAAGACAGGCTTTTATTAACCTGAAACCAGTGTGGAGGTCTCCTCCACTACACTCCGCATATGGAACAAGATCCGGATTCTCAACACCAACGTCAAGTCAGTGCTTCTGTATGGTTCAGAGACTTGGCGCGTTACGAGAGGCATTTCCAACAAACTACAGACATTCATCAACAACTGTGTACACTGGCTCGTTACTGAGGTTCAGATAGCCAGAATAATGAGAATAAGCAACAAGGAACTCTGGCTGGCAAGGAACCAACGAGGCAAGAACCTATTGCTGAAGGAATATGCACTGGAAGGAAGTGGAGATGGATTGAGGATGCACTGAGAAGACTATTCGGGGACATTATGTGCCGGGCCAGGCCGTCGAGTGGAACCCAGATGGGAAACGACGAGTTGGGCGTCTGAGGCGAGGGTGACGTGGAGGAGATGGTGTGAGGAAGAAATGAGAGGTTGTGGGCAGCCGTGTAGCCAGGTTGAAAAGATTGTATAGAAGAGAAGAGAGTTTAATGGAGACGTGCTACTGAATCAGTATGTTCCATTAGGAGCCCAAGGTATAAATAATAATAATATTGAATTAAATCACACTGAAATAGTCAACACCTCAAAGACATTATTTGTATGAGTAAACAAATACTCTTGTTGGATGATGACTAGCAATGGAATCCTATTCTGGACTCAAAAGGTAGATGTACGTGCCTACTTATGAGCGTTGGTTTTTGCACTTAGAGACTCAAACCCGGGAACCGATCGTTACAAACGTCACAGCGTTATCCATGAGGCCACTAAATCACGATGGCCACTTCTTCTACAATGATTATACAAGTAACAATAAAAGGTACTTCACAAAATATGAAAAGATTAAATAACACATTGAGAAACTCTTAACAAAGTAGTAATGTTTAAAAATGAATTTTTCTAACGGTTGTTCAAACTATCCCATTATAATTACAAGCGTATAATTTAAGTTTCCTAAGAGAGAATAGAAGAGTTGAGAAGTTCATTATTAACTACCTTGGTCTAGACTATGTTATCAGCTTGTGCTTATTGTTTATTCAGCTACGACAGGTAGATCAACGTTGAAGTTAGTTTCAATGAACAACATTTGACATCACTATACATAATTAAAACAAACATAGGCAACATCTAGGCATCCACTTATATGCTAATAGAGACTGATCAATTCGGTCCAATCAACGACGGTGTCATACAAGTAATAACACTGAAACTATACCCGTCTCACAAGAAGTGGTTATCGTGGATCGGTGGTATAGTGGAAAACGCTGTGGCGTTTGAAGCGATCGCTCCGAGTTGAAGTCGCGGTGGGAACAACATCACTCACTGGGAGCCAGCAGGTACATCCAGCTGACGAGTCCGAAATAGAACGGAATGCGCATCCTAGACTCCACTGCTAGCCACTGCTAATCATTACTTTACATAAAGAAAATAACAATGTTGAAATTCTACTGTTCGTATAAACTGCAATTAACATTTCATTGGTTGAACAAAAAATATTCTTTTTGATAACTTCTTAGCGGACCTATTACCATGGAAACTATAGAAAGGTTCACTTGAACGATTTATTAAAGAATTTTCATTTTACTCTTGATATATGACTGATACTTTCATCCTATGCAAAAATAATATGGGCATGTTCAAGATATTCAGCAGATTTAAGGCAGTACAGAAAAGTTTACACATGAGGAAGAGTCGTAAGACAAGGTGGCTTTTCTTGATATCTCTCTGTCAAGGCGTAAAGGCAAGTAGATAAAAAGGAATCTGTTTAGGTAACGGACTTGGACTGGGCAATATATACTTTTTTCTGAGCTTCATCTCCCTTCAGAAGAAGAGAAACTTAGCAAAAGCTTTAAGATACATCTGCTGAGGGACTGGCAACTTTACGCAACACACTAACTGAAAATGACTATCTTGATAAATTCATAATGAAACATGATTACTAAAGTGGCACGAAAGGACATTGCAACGGCTGACAGGAAACCACTATACATTTGGATACAATTTAGAGATGACTTGCCTAGCGCGATAGTAATTCACAAACTATGCAAATTAATCCAGAGAACTTTGAGTGATAGTAAATTACAAATTTCATTTTCTTTACATGCGAAACGGTGATAATCAGACTAAAAGATGAATCGCCTAAACTGGTCGCTTCCTGTTGTGGAGTCAAGTACGTCAGCCGCTACTCCAGGTATTCAATTTTATATGCTCACAACACCTTCCAGTGCGGTTAAGTAAAGGTGTGGTAAAGGCTTGTATTAGCTCCGTATTCGCACAGTTGACTGAAATAAACCAAAAAGGGGATGTGAATAAGTTAAGTCTCTTTTCCTTTTGTACTGCGTTCCTGTCAACTTGCAGACACAGTAGCAAGCAGGATCAAACAACTTAAGTTATGTATTCAAGAAAAGCAAGCTACAACTGCGGTAGCCTGAATCGAGACCCAAGAATTCACCAACATCCATGCATATTGTAGATACCCCTTCATCTCTATAATTTGAAATTCTCTTAACCTATTTTGTCCCTCAATACTAGTAACTTTCTATCAAGCTATTATTCCTTAAATTATCAGTCAGCCTTCATAACACTTTCCTATTGTTTTGTTGAACTACTACCACCGTATAGTATTAACTACACAATAAAATCGTTCAGACGATCATTTACTTTTAGTTGTTCACGGTGCTTACGTGTTTCACGTTAAACAATGATATTCCTTCAGTCTTGTATAATTTATATACTCTTTTTCAAATGATATTAATCTGGCTGCAATCTAGGTTTTCCTTCACCTTTTACCTTTAATTATCCCCAGTATCAATAACACCATTCTGTCAAATGACATTTATCGCAGATAGTGTCATATATATATATATACAGTATAATGCTCTCCACCCCTTCCCCTAATTTAGGTCGATTTGGATCAAGATAAGAGGACCCAACTGGTTAGGAAGTGTGATTGCAATGAACACAATGAAATGAGGATCTGATAAGCAGTTATATCTAGCAGCTCATTTGGTACAGCGGTGAACTAGTGACCCTGAATTCAAGTCTTCGTTTCACCTCCAACCATCACTCTGTATCAATGGTACTAGTTTATCATTGATAATAATAATAAATTATAAAAATTATCATCATAGTCTAAATGTTTATACATCAAAGAAATATTCTATACCTTTTTCATAGCTATATGTAGCCAAAATTCTTGGAAATCTCCAAATATTTCCAAATCCAACAACACTACCCAAGCAAGTTAATATCATTCCAAAACTTGAATTGAATTTTGAACCTTCATTTTCAGTATTACACTTAATTATATCTAATTGACAAGTGTTTATTTCAGCCTAAACAGAAAATTATTTGATCAATTATTGTATGTTATATTAAAGTTGAAAACTAATAAAATTTTTATATTACCTTTATACTTGGTTCCCATTCATCATCATCATCAGAGTCGGGAATGTAGATTTTCGCTACTCCTGTTACTGACATTAGAAAAATACACTTTCCAATCTGATAAGGTGCTCTAATGAATATATATATATATATATATATATATATATATATATATATATATATATATATATATATATATATATATATATATATATACTTGATAAAAATCATTGGAAAACAATTTTTTTTCCATTTACAAATTTCTCAGAAAATTAATTCACTAAATAAATTTTCATTTACACTGATCATTTTCTGTGTCTTACTACTTTGTTTTCAACCGGAAACACCAACACCTGATAGAACTAAAATATATTAACATATCATTAAGATGATTTTATACAACAAAATGAAGGTGTAAAAAAAAACAGATCTGTTATAAATCATGTGATTATCAAGTTTCATTAGAAATAATTCCTTCTTGTATAGTAGTGAATGAAATATCAAATATATTATTACTTTAGTCCATTTCTCTTATACAACTTCTAAACTAACATGTTAGCAATCATAAATGTAATAGGAATACAAAATAAAATTACTTATGCGTTTAAACTAATAACATGCAGTTATTAAATAACTCAAAATGTCCGCCCAAATAAAATCATTGAACTAACCAATCAAGTTTCTTGATTTCGGTTAGTAAGGTCAATCCTACAGAAAATAAATGAACCTGATTGGCCATTTCTCAAACCCTCACTAATTTAATCATTAGCCTAATGCTTTATATACGTATATGAAGAATTGATATTTTAGACTTGATCCATTAAAATTCCTTAGAATTCTTTGAATAGACAATGTCTTTCTTATTCTAGGTGATCGTTTATCTTGAAGAAGAAGAAGAAGAATTATCCCTAATAGGTAAGGTTCACCCTTAATTATTTATCTCTTGGGTTCCTAATGGAACATACGGCTTCACTTGCACGCCTCTATTCCACTCACTTCTCTCCAGTCTTTTCAACCTGACGCCATCACTACCCACAAGCTTCCACTTCTTCCTCATATCATCTCCTCTATGTCACCCTCACCTCAGACAACCAACTAGTCGTTTCCCATTTGCATTCCATTCGAGGACCTGGACGAGCCTGACACATGATTTCTACAGTCTACTTTCTCAGTGTATGGCCCAATCCGAACCATCTCCAGTTTCTTCGACTGCAGATTCGTTGGGCGATGGGTTCTTGTCTCGTTGGTTCGTTGCCAGCTAGCCAGCTAGTCAGCCAGCCAACCAACTAGCCAACCAGTCAACCAGCCAGAGTCACTTCCTTCTTGCTTATTCTCATTATATTCTGGTCATCTGATCTTAAGTGTCAGTATGGAGTGAGTGTAGATGGCACCTGTTAATGAATATCTGTAGTTTGTTGGAAGTGGTTTTCGTGACGCACCAAGTTTCTGAGCCATCACATAGAAGTGCTGAATTACTTGACTGAATTAGTGTTGAAAATCTGGATGTTGTTCACGCTTTATGCTGAGTGGAGTGGAGTGGAGTGCAGTAGATCTCCACAGTGATTTCAGAATAATGAAAGTCTGTCTTGCTGTCCTTCCGATCCTGGTTTTGACATCGTCATCTGTGCCGCCACCGTCACCTGTAGTTGAAACGATGCTGCCTAGGTAGGTGTAGGTGAAAGAGACTACTTCCTTTAAGTTTCTCTCCTTGATGGTGATGGGTGCTTGTTGTTGTTGGTTGGGATTCTTCATCACCTCTATCTTCTCTACGTTCACTTGAAGTCCCGTCTTCCTTGGCTACCCTGCCTGTTCTGTCAACTTGTTAGTTTGCGTCTGTACATCTTCGATTTTGTGTGACATTAGACAAAAGTCATCAGCGAAATCCAAATTTTCTACGATTCTTTTCTCAGTCAAACAGTGTATCCCCCTCTTCTCGCTCCTCACTGTTTGCTGCATGATCCAGTCCACCACAATCAGGAATATCATGGGTGATAGTAGGCAGCCTTGTTTCACTCCTGTCTTCACTTCAGAGGCATCACTGAGGTTTCCATAGTGGATCACTTGACATATGGCCTTTTCATATAGTTGTCGAATGAGGTTGATAAATGTTTGTGGCACCAAAACCGTAGTGTTGAAGCAACTGCTGAATTACTTCTCGGTTGACGCTATCGTAAACCTTTTCAAAGTTGATAAACTTGAGGCAGAGAGTTCACCTTAAAAAGAATAAATTTTACAAAGACATGAAGTTTCGGGTTTCTATTCGTCGAATAATCAGGACGTTCACAGTAGCTTATGTATATGGTCATAAACATAAATATATGCTCTCTGTCGGTGAAGAATATTTTTATAATGAATAACTGTTCTTTGCATCTAGACAAGTAGATTCATTTAAAGTACTAATCTAACAAAAATCATTCATTTGTCCAGATGTTGGTGAAGTTGTTGCAGACGGTCTAAAGAAAACCCTACTCATAGAAGTTTTATGCTCATTGGAACTCATCAACAAGACTTACCTACAATCTCATGGAAACTGATGTCTTCCTAATGGTCCGAACGCTCACTACTCAGTGATAAAGTAAGACACTTTACCAGTGGGCTTCTAAAAGTCTAAAGTAACTTAAAATGGATAATCATACTAAAATGCTCAACTTATTAAAAACATATTTTATGACTGAACTCATTCAGGACTGACATCGTATGAGTAATACCTAAATGACCAGTTATTCCATTCCACTTACCTCAATAATTCCAAATGCCCAACATTAGTTTGATGTTTGTGAGGATTTATTTATTTCAGTTAGCGAACCAGTGAAAACCTGGGAGCACTGAAAGCACCGACGACTTCGCCTCATGACGAATCGAACTCAGAATAGCTAGATGTCATGGGGGATGCATTACCTTTCATCCACTGGATTAGCTTCAAATGGTGCACATTTTCACAACTGTCTTCAAAAGCCATTAGTTGACATGTTCTTCACTGTCGATTTGGATGACACTGAAGGTCATAACTTCTCACTAGAACTTCGCGATATCCATTTTGGAATATGTTATTAAATAACACTAGACGGTAATTTATAGTTATTTTAAAGTCAAAGGAGCGATATGTTATTTTATGCTCGGAGTGGACATCTATATATAAATGATACAAATTGGCCAATTTACTGAACCGCAATAGTAAATCATATCAATAAATGCAGGCCATTAAAGTTACTTACCGACTTTGTGTTAAGACTGTTTTGTTATTTTCGTTGTCAATTGGTTTGCATGGAATTCATCGATCTTATACGAATACCTCGATATGACTAATGGTTTTGCCTCTGTATTGATGATGAAGAGTGCCTACCAGTGGAATCCATAACGCCCATTTCATCCTATCTCATTAGTAAGATATATCTGTACTCACCAATTGGCTTCCTGTGCAGATGTTTCAATATAACCTGTATTTTCATTCTGATATTAAGCAGCAGTATACTAACATAAAGCGATCAGTTCAGCTGGAGCTAATCCAAAGCAAGAAATAACAATTCGTGATGTCAAGCTATAACCGTTGTATAGGGAATGATATAGCAACTCATCAAATTAGTGAGTTTCTCTCCGGAAATTCAAGCCATACCACCACTGCCTGAGATGCAGATAAACTCAGTCGATAAAAATAAAACATTATGAAATGCACGTCAAGGATTGCAATATTAACCAATGCTGGTTCTTAATAACAAACCAAAGTAATGGATACTTCAGAATATGCAATAAATTAGATTAATATATCAACAGAAACGGGACTTCAAGTGAACGTAGAGAAGATAGAGGTGATGAAAATTCCCAACCAACAACAACAACAAGCACCCATCACCATCAAGGAGAGAAACTTAAAGGAAGTAGTCTCTTTCACCTACACCTACCTAGGCAGCATCGTTTCAACTACAGGTGACGGTGGCGGCACAGATGACGATGTCAAAACCAGGATCGGAAGGACAGCAAGACAGACTTTCATTATTCTGAAATCACTGTGGAGATCTACTGCACTCCACTCCACTCCACTCAGCATAAAGCGTGAACAACATCCAGATTTTCAACACTAATTCAGTCAAGTAATTCAGCACTTCTATGTGATGGCTCAGAAACTTGGTGCGTCACGAAAACCACTTCCAACAAACTACAGATATTCATTAACAGGTGCCATCTACACTCACTCCATACTGACACTTAAGATCAGATGACCAGAATATAATGAGAATAAGCAAGAAGGAAGTGACTCTGGTTGGTTGGTTGGTTGGTTGGCTGGCTGGCTGGCTAGCTGGCAACGAACCAACGAGACAAGAACCCATCGCCCAACGAATCTGCAGTCGAAGAAACTGGAGATGGTTCGGATTGGGCCATACACTGAGAAAGTAGACTGTAGAAATCATGTGTCAGGCTCGTCCAGGTCCTCGAATGGAATGCAAATGGGAAACGACTAGTTGGTTGTCTGAGGTGAGGGTGACATAGAGGAGATGATATGAGGAAGAAGTGGAAGCTTGTGGGTAGTGATGGCGTCAGGTTGAAAAGACTGGAGAGAAGTGAGTGGAATAGAGGCGTGCAAGTGAAGCCGTATGTTTCATTAGGAACCTAAGGGATGAATAATAAGTACGAATACGTGTCTTATTGACTTTTTTCTAACCACTTGATATCCATTGATTATTCAGTATAGCCCTATTATTATTATTATTATTATTATTATTATTATTATTATTATTATTATTATTATTATTATTATCAGCATCATCATCATCATGAAACTGACCTAACAGTGTGTGTTAACTATATTGTTTACTTTTGTTGTGCATGAGATTTCGACAAGCCTAAAATTCTATTCTGCCCACTTTGACTTGATATGTTCTAGTTGATTAAGAATTTTAAGATTGGACTTTTATAAAGAAAAGCTTTTTATGTGAACCATGGAGACCTATC